TTCTTTAACATGATACTCTAAATGGTGTGAAGAAAATTTTGATTTGATTTTCTGTATTTCATTGATTTCTTTGTACTGCTAACTAACTTTTAAGAGAGGTTTTTCTTAACTTTAACTTCCCTTCTGAAGGACTATTATTCAGAAATTGGAACCCTACTGAATTTTTCATTTCTGCTACTAGTAACAAACATGTATATTTTGGCACAGCTGACCTCTCCTGTCCTGTCTCTCCAGCTGCTCTCCTTAGCAGTGTATTTTGTCTCCCCACTGTGTCACATGCTCCCCCCACACCTCTGGTCTACACTCCAGTTCTATGCAAAAAAAAAAAAAAAGTATGCTTAAACATGAAAGATGGGAAAAACAAAATGCTTTCCCCCTAAGATAAATAAGCCAACACATCACTCAACATTCCACATTGTACAGGAGGCCCTCAGCAGTATACCAAGGCAAGAAATTCAAGTTACAGAGGTTTAAAGTACCATTTAAATAGACACATAGACGGATGGAATGAATAGAAAGCCCAGAATAAACCCTCACATATATGATCAAGTGGTCATATGATATTTGACAGATTATTCAATAAGAATAGCTTCTCCAACAAATAGTTAAGAAAACTTGATAATACCAATACGAAAATAAAATCAAGATGGATTCTTATCTTAAATCATACTCCAAAATTAAAACTTAAAAAACTATAAAATTCCTAGATGGGAACATTTCATAATATTGCAATGAGGATTCAGTACCCTGGGTAGGGCACCAAAAACATAGGTAACAAAAACAAACAAATAGCTTAAAAACGAACAGTTTAACAAAATTTAAAATTTCTGTGCAGCAGTGCCCTCCCCTCCTATGGCACAAGAGTTGTTAAAGCTCAGCTCTATGAAGCTTTCTACAGCCACTTCTGCACCAGTTCCACTCTCCTGACACCAGCACTGCACCCCCAGAAGGGTATTATTTCACTCCATCTGCCTGTTCTGCTCCCCACTCTGTCCCTGGTAAATCCTCTCACCGCCCTCCACACCTCTGGCCTGTACCCCAACTGTCTGAATAAATAAATCTTTAAAAAAAAAAATTCTGTGCCGCAAAGGAAACAAAGAGCAACCTACAGAATGAGAGAAAACAGTTAATATCCAGAAACTAAAAACAACAACTCAATAATAAAAAGATAATTCAATTCAAAGCTAGACAAAGAAATTGAAAAGGCATTTTTTCAAAGAAAATATACCTAGGACAATACAAAAAAAAAAACAAAACCCAAAACTAAATAGCTGAAAACCTTCCTTAATAGCTTCATATTGGATAATAAAATAAGGCTGCATTTCTCAAAAAAATTTAAATAAATTCCAAGAAAAATAAAAACAAAGATATACAAATGGCTAAAACTCAGACCAAAACAAGTACACATCCAGTAAGCAAAGAGAAATGCAAATCAAAAGCAAAATGAAGTATCACATCACAAAAAAATAAATAACAATTATTGGCAAGGATGTGGTAACAGAAATCTTTGTGAACTGTTTTTACAATACCTAGCATCTAGGGAAAACAATACTGAGGTTCCTCAAAAAAATGGCAAATAAACTATCCTATGATCCAGCAATCCTACCTCCGGGTATATATCCAAAGAACTGAAGATAGAATCTCAAGGAGCTATTTGCACATGCATGTTCACTACAGTTTTGTTCAAAAGTGCCAAGATGTGGAAGTGCTCTAAATGTTTGCTGACAAATGGATAAGGAAAAAGTGATGTATGCAGAGAGATTACTACTAAGGAAATTCCATCATAAGGTATAGGGCAGCTCTTACCAACACTATACTAATCACAAAACATGAGCTATTGAAACTAATCAAAATAGAAAACGAAATTATGGTTAACAGGAGCTGAGAAGGAAAAACATGAGGTTGTTCTATGGATACAGAATTTCATTTAGGCAAAATGAAAACTTTCACTGATCTGTTGTAAAACAATCTGTATATAGTTAACACTGTAATGCACACTTAAAAACTAAGAGGGGCCCTCACTGGTGGCGCAGCAGGTTAAACAGAAGCGAAACCCACTTCTGCATGAGTTCAATCCCCACCTGCCCCGGAGGTGACCCATGTGGAGGTGACCCACATGACACAGAAGACCTCTCCTGACCCTCCCGATGCTCCCCTCAGCAGTGTATTTTGGCTTGTACCCCAGTTCTGTATGCACAAATAAATAAACCTTTAAAAAAAAAAACTAAGAGGGTAAATTTAATGTTACATACACTAAGTGACATGGAGATCAGGAGAATAAAAAATTAAAATCATCAATTTGCAGATTACATGAATGGTTTATAAGAAAATGCCAGAGAGGCCCTCCCTGGTGGCGCAGCGGATTAAAGCACAGCACCAAGAAGCTTAAGCCACTTTCACATGAGTTCGATCCCTGTCTACCCAGGAGGGGAGATCCACATGGCGCGGGAGACCTCTCCTGACCCGGCCGCTGTTCCCCTCAGCGATCTGCCTGTTCTGCTCCCAGCTCTGTCTCTGGTGAATCCTCTCACCCTCCCTATCTCTGGCCTATACCCTAGTTCTCTATGAATAAATAAATAAATCTTAAAAAAAAAAAGAAAATGCCAGAGAATCCACCAAAAACATTTTAATCACTTGAGTCATCAAACTGCATCTTTTTTGTGCTCTACTTAGTGCCATGTTTTTCACACTTTGGTACTTTTTGTTGGTAATTTAACTATTTAAAATGGCCTCCAAACATAATGGTAAAATGCTATCTTAACATTCCTAAGTATAAGGAAGTACTTTTTTCACACTTGTGTCACATGAAAAAAAAATACATGTGTAAGATTAAGCTTCATTCCGGCATGAGTCATTGTATCATTTATCATAAATTCACTGTTAATAATCCTTCAACACAAATTGAATAAAACTTCTTTAAACAAAACACATGTGAAACAAGGTTATGTAAAGACTGCTTCATGAAAATGTGACAATTGGCTCAGGAGAATCTAACACTGTTTCCCCTATGAGCAATGGTTCAGTATTTCCTAAATAAGTGTGCACAGCAAGTTTATAGTCATAACTACCATGAACAACAGACTCAACTGTAACCACAGCTAACAAACAGTACAATTTACAGTAACATTAAAACCTTAAAGTATGTGAGAAATGTGTACCCTGAAAATTACCATCGGTAATAAAAGAAATCAAAGACAACAAATGCCACACTGAATTTCACTCATAAGTACAGTGGGCCCTCCCTAGTGGCGCAGCAGGTTAAAGCACAGCACAGAGAAGCTTAAGCCACTTCCGCATGAGTTCGATTCCTGCCTGCCCCAGAGGTGACCACATGGCGAGGCAGACCTCTTCTGACCCACCCCCTGCTCCCCTCAGCAGTGTACCTCGTCGATCTGCCTGTTCTGTACCCCACTCTGTCTCTGGTGAATCCGCTCACCCTCCGCATCTATGACCTGTACCCCAGTTCTGTACGAATAAATAAATAAACCTTTAAAAAAAAATACAGTAATCTTTATTTGTAAAAAATGAAGGACTCACGCAATTTGATTTTAAGACTTAACATAAAAATATAGTTAAGGAAGAGTCTTGCTGGTGGTATATGGATTAGGTGTCAGTGCTAGCACTGTGTAGGCCCATTGCTTTGGTCTGAGTTCAAGTCCTGGCCAGAGATCCAACCCATAGACATAGCAGACCTTTTTCTATCTTGCCTGCTGTTCCCCTTAGCAGTGTTTTTCAGTATATCTGCCTGTCCTACTCTCCTTTCTGTTTCTGGTAAAATCTCTCTTACCTACACCCCAGTTTTTCTTTTAAACTTTTTTTAAAAAAGAATGAAAAGAACAGTGGAGGGAGGGAAGTACACTGGACTATGGTGATGGCACATGGGTGATTTGGTGATGTGAAGCCCACGGGGATTACAACTGAGATAGAAAAAGGCACAAAATGATCTAAGAATAAACTATTATTTAAAAAAAAAAGGCAGCAGCTATAGTCAGTTTTGATATTTTTAATACTCTCTTTCGCAGTTTTCACAGTGATCCTAAAGCAAACTGTGAACTCTGAATTCTTTTAGTTCCTCAGGGCTGTGCTGTGCCGACCACATTAATCATAACAATAATGATACTAATATATAAACAAAAAAAAAAGTGAATGAAAAGAAGCCATAAACACATATATACAAGATGAAATATGTATTTTCAAGAGAAATGAAAACTCACTCTAAGTAAAAACCTGTATGTGAGCTTTATTTATAAAAATCAAAAACAACACACACTGCCTTAAACCTGACTGTATAAACAAGTGGTGGTACATCATTACAACAAAGGACTACTCTGTAATCAAAAAAGGAATAAACAATCTAAACATAGGCAGTAACTATAGACAATGTCCATTCCCTCACAATTCTATATGTTGAAATCCTAGTACCTAGTGTGATATTAGGAAGTGGGATCTTTGAAACTACTTTAGGTACTGAGGGTGGAGCTCTCATGAAAGGGACTAGGTGTCTAATAAAAGAGACTCCTTTCACAGAGATACATTATCCTTTCCCCACCAGTAGGTCATAATGAAAAAGCAGCCACTTGAGAACCAGGAAGCAGATCCTCACCAAACACTAAATTTGCCTACATTAGACAATACACCTACATTTTGGGTCTAAATTAAACACATAAAAAACCCTAAAAGCAAACACCAAAATAGAACTAGTGAGCTCTGATGGCCTGTGACTACACAAGTGTTTCTTTTCACAAAAACTTTCTCTTTGCAAAGCAGAGTGGAAGTGCTCCTGGCACCTGTGACTGTGCTGGTGCCTCTCTTTTTCTCCTTTTCCTAACAAACCTGTCTCTTTTAAAATGTAAAAAACGAAGAAGAAATAGAACTAACTTTCAAGCCTGCTGAGGAAAACATGAATAAATCCAAATGAGGACACAAAAGGAGCAGGCAGGTACTATCAATAGAAACAAAGTTAGAGATTAAAAATTAGTCATGAAAATAGATTAACTCACCTGTTAAGAAAAATCTCAAATTAAATACACCAAAGTCCAGCTATGTTTGAGACAGACCTAAAATAAAACATCAAAATATGAAATTAAAAGGCACGTTAAAACTTCCAATTATGAAAAAAAAAAACCAACTTCCAATTATGATTTCACTTAAGTCAAACCTTGACCTCAGGACTGCAAAATCTCTAATGTATTCTTAGATTCTTAAGTACTATTTACAGTGCATTTGTTGTTTTGTTAAGCACTAAGGCAGATCTATAGCTCTTAGGTATGTTCATTCAAAAAGTTACTTATTTCCTCCACTAAAATCTAAACATTACAGTGCTAGCAAATAGAACTAGTGTAACATGCAAAGGTTTGTAGAAATATAATAGTCATTAGGTAAACAGAATCTAGGTCAAACCATACTTCCAGTAAAGTTATAAACTCTTGTTTAAGTGAATTATTGAGCAATTAATGTCACAATTACAAATAAAATTGTTTGCAAGAAGCTTTATACTCTAAAAATCACTCTGGGTACAATCCCCCTAAGGATTATATACCCCTAAATTATTAATCCAATCCTATAATACAAATGCTATTTCCTACCAGAACCTGTTCAACTATTAGATTAAAAACTGCTGATACTCCTAGGAAGTGGGAGGAAACCACCAGTAAGAAAATAAGACTTGTTGCGAACTGCAAAGGTCAAGACTGAATAAAAAGTGAAATGTAAGATATTAATCCTATATCTCAAAAGGTATATCTGTACAAAAGAATTGAAGGGTCTGATGAAAATAAAAATTAAAACCTCTTATTCTTAAGAATTTAACTTTTTCATACTTTTACCTTTGCACTATAATCTACATCCTCAAAATAACTTATGATAAGAAGGGAAGTTACTATCGTTTGAGAGAAAGTAAAACGGAGACATAGAGATTAAGACCAAGATCATACCTATCAGCAGACCCAGAACTACAAGATAAATTCTAACATTCATTCCTGTTCCTTTTTCTAGGCCCTGTTAAGTATAGCTAGTTCTCATTTACATATAAGTTACTTACACATTAAACCCACTTATTGGTCATTCCTTAACAGCACTACAATGCTACTGTAGTAAACTATTTACAATCTTACTTAAATAAACTCACCTAATGTTTTCTAAATTTCATTTACAAAGTCAAACTGAAAAAAAACTTAACAACACCTAATGCATCTATGTTTGTCACAGCTTAAATGTCACGGTTAAGTACTAATTTTACTTTTTTTGTAATTGTACTAAAAGACCACATTAAATAATTTCTAATTAATTAATTGATAATTTTTTTACTATTACAAACTGAGGGCCTCTCTGAGGGTGCAAAGGGTTAAGTCTCAGCACTATGAAGCTATGGGCAGCCACTGAAGCACCAGTTAGATCCTCCACCAGGGAGATGACCCACAAGGTGCAGCAGACCTCTCCTGTCTTCCCTGCTACCCCCTCAGCAGTATATTTCAGTAGATCTACCATTTCTGTTTCCCATTCCATGAATCCTCTCACCCACCCCCACACCCCAGCTCTTGGATGCATAATAAATCTTTAAAAATATTTATACCAGGCCCTCCCTGGTGGCGCAGCGGGTTAAAGCACAGCACTGAGAATCTGAAGCCGCTTCCGCATGAGTTCGATTCCCGCCTGCCTCCTGCCCCGGAGGAGACCACATGGCGAGCCAGACCTCTCCTGACCCGCCCGCCCGCTGCTTCCCTCAGCAGTGTACTTTGTCAATCTGCCTGTTCTGCTCCCCACTCTGTCTCTGGTGAAGCCTCTCACCGCCCCTGAGCCTCTGGCCTGTACCCCAGTTCTGTATGCACAAATAAATAAATAAATCTTTAAAAAAAAAAAATATTTATACCAAATTGATATTTTAAGACTTGTAGCCTTCCTTGTTTTTTAGTTATTTCTAACACACTCTTCCTTATTTGTGTTAATGAACAAAGCAAGTGACAAAACTTTCAAATGACAGTTGGAACAAATTCTGAGAAACAATGCTCTATGGAACTCAACTATTCTACTAAAGTGTGGGCAGTCCTAATTAATAATTCTCTCAAGTACTAGCTCCACTCTGGAGCTAACTGACATACTGTAGTTTTACAATAATGTTATAACTAGGCAGAGTAAACAGTTTCAGTGACTAATCCCCTTCGCCAAATGTTTTTGAAACACTTGCACAAGTATTCAAATACAGCTATTCTCAAATGTTTTACCAAAAAGTCAAGAACTGTGACTGCTATATGCACATTTGTTACACACACAGAATTCATTAAATGAAAAATAAGTGGAGGGTATATTGATCTGAGACAGATACAGTTGCTACACTGCATATTCTAACAATTATAATTAAAACATGATTCCTCCAAGTAATTTTTTTCTTACAGGTTAGAAAGAAAAATTAAAACTCAAATGGAAAAAGCTTATCATCTGGAATATACATAATAGTTGATGCTGGGTTTCAACAACCAAAAGCCTTAATAATTTAGTAAATTGTATTATTTATATCTATTCCTTCAGAAAATTCCTAAAGTTTCCTTCCTTCCTTTCTTGAGAAATTGAATAACCATAGTCACTGCAAGTAACAACAATTTAGAGAGGAAGTGTTAGCTAGGCTTGTACAATTTCCCATCTGCTCATACACAAAGAACAAGCCCCTCATTTTCAAGACCGGCACTGTCCAAGAAAAATATGATATGCTTTTTAGATTTTACTCTAAAGAAGGTTCATACCACATAATCCATTCATTTCTCTTGGCAAAATAAATCTTAATAAAACCACCAGAAATGAAGGCAAAGATTTATCTGCCTTAGTGTTGATCATTATATTTTTAGTGTTGGAAAAAAACAGAAGCAGGGCCTCCCTGGTGGTACAAAGAGTTAAGTCTAAGCGCTATGAAGCTATCCAATCCCTGGCCAGTGAGCTAAACTACTTGGGGCAGCAGACCTCTCTCCTCTCACCCAGTGCTTCCCCTCAGCAGTATATTTCAGTCAATCTGACTGTTCTGCTTTCCACTGTCTATGGTGAATCCTCTCCCACCTACAACTCTGACCTACACCCCAGTTCTATGCAAAAAACAAATAAAATATTTTTTTCAATAAAATAAAAGGAACAAAGGTATCATCCCTTTGGACGCTGTGAGTGAATTAACTCACTTGGGATGACTTCAAGGTAGTCCGAGATTTCTGAGACCGTATCTGAAAATTAAGGCAGTAAGTTATATTTAACAACTGAAATCAGAAATCATCAGTGGGCTGTTTATGGATCCTCTGCTATGTGAAAGATATATTCCTTAACTTCTCTTAATTTTAATTTCTTCCTCCATGAAATAAAGATAACTGCTGTTTAGTCATAAGACCATAATAAGCATTAAATTGCCAGCATATAATCTGGAATATAGTAGGAAACTCGGGAACTGGTATATATATTTTAAATAATCATACAGCTGACTAGTGTATAATCTCAATTATATTAGTTTATTTACAGTAAGCTCCACAACTGAGTAATACTAGTTCTAAATTCAGTATGAGTCCAAAATGACCACAATTAACTGCATCCAAGACAGGAATTACTAAATGTTTCAATCAAATTGACACGTCCTTAAATGAGCACGGGTATGAGTTTGGTTGAAAACAACAGATTAGAAGATGGTGAAAAGTAGACTTTCTTACTTAAAAAATAAACCTAAAGTAAAGCATATTTTAAAAGAAAGGAAACAGATGGGAAAAGAGTAAAAGAAAATACAACAACGGCATCTAGAAGAGATAAAACCTTTCTCTCACCAGTGAGTCAGAAGAAAGTGAAACTGGGGGAAAGAAGTTTTTAGGCAGGGCTGCTTACTTGACATCCCTGCTCATCATTTATTACTGTTAGTCAAGGCAGAAAAGGAAGGCTGCAACTAAAACACCGGATTGAAAGAAAGCATCATTAATACAGGACCTATGTGGAGGGAATGAAACATTCCAGCTTTTAAAGGAAAGGCTCCATTAAATGCTGCAAATGCATACCTACAGATTAAATCTCCACAATCCAAGTATCCCCACCATTGACATACTCCTAAATTCTTGAACATTTTAAAAAAAAAAAAGGCAGGCCCTTCCTGGTAGTGCAGCAGTTTAAAGTACAGGACTTCAAGCTAGCTGTAGGAGCCTGGGTGCAAGTTTTCATCCCCAGCCCCAGAGGTGACCCAAAGGCTGGCAGACCTCTCCTGACCCTCCCGCTGCTCCCCTCAGCAGTGTACTTCCCCAATCTGCCTGTTCTGCTCCCCACTCTGTCGCTGGTGAATTCTCTCACTGCCCCTACACCTCAGGCTTGTACCCAGTTCTGTATGCATAAATACATAAATCTTCAAAAAAAAAAAGGTGAACTATGTATCAAAGAACCAAAACCTCAGTTTTTGCTCCCTAATTTGATCCACTCTTAATGTGAGCCATGTATGTATCTATAGCCATTTAAACAGACCTTTTATAAACTCCAGTCTCAAGCACTATTTGCTAAATATCCCCTTAATCAGCAACTTGCTTATTCAGTAAGTCCTTAGTTTCCCCCTAAACAAATTTTCCTTAATCAGGCAAACAAAAGATGATAGATGGACAGGCATAATCATAGTCATTTAAAAGATGCTAGTGACATGTTTTGCAAATTATCCAATAACAACAGAATGAATCAGCACAAATACATTATTACCGCTCATATGTCTGCATTCTGTTAATGGTGGATTTAGCTTTACACGTAAATTATAACATCTTCATGCTTCAACACACATTTGGAATTGTGGTGAAGGATGGAGAGTTGAAGAGTCAGGATTTGAACACTGGGCACTGCCAGACCTGGGGGTTTCCGCGTTTGTCACCAATTCATAACGACCTTGTAACTACCTTAACAAGGTAAGTCAGAGCTTGACAGAGGCCTTAGAAACACGTAACCGAACACAAAGCAAAGGTAAACTGAATGTGCCCGAACAGTGACCCGTTTGAGGGCAAGGTCGTGAGTCTGTTTTAATCACTGCTGAAACCTGTAACGCACGCTAGGCGCTTTAAAGGGTTTAAAGAGCAAAAGGCATTGGGGTGGGGGGGCTACAAGTATTTTGCGATTTACATTCATTTTAATGCAACTCCTCCAGAAAATTCTCACCGATGAAATGCAATGACACTAATCAAAATTCCTATCACAGACCCCATTAGCCAGGAAAGAAAGTAAAGAAAGGTGGGAAAGGTCTCTCCAGAATGGTGAGCCCTGCGGAGACGCCCGAACCCTCACCAGCCAGCACGGTCCAGACCGGAAGCAACCCGAACAAATACTCAGGCCTGCGGGGTGCCCCGCCCTAATCCGGTCAGCCAGTCCCTATCTTGAGTTCCCGCCCGAGTGAGCCGCGGGCGCGAACCGCCAGCGGGGGGCCCGGCCCGGCTCCCCCGCCGAGCGCCGCGGCCCGTTACAAACAGCGGGCATCCTCCGCGGGCCCGGCCGGGGCGGGCGGTCTGCACTTACCGACGCGCAGCTCACGGCGCAGCGCGCGGCCCGGGCGGGAAGGGGCAGGGAGGGGTTGCTAAGAAGGCGGGAACGCGAGTGTGGACCATAGCAATGCCTGGGTGTTCATCTGGCCCTAGCACCAACCTGGGCGTCCCACCTTTCCTCGCGCAACCGCGGCTCGGGAGCCGCGCGACAGTAAGAACCGGAACTGCCGCGGCGCGAGCCCTAATCCTTTTTTGCCTCTTCCCGCCGGAATTGCCGCGCGCGCACGCCCTGCCTCCAAGCCCCAAAGACGCCTCTCAGGCAGCGAAAAATCCTCGTGAGCCCCACCCCCACCCGTGCGCGTGCACTAGAGGCTTAGTTCTCGCGAGAAGTTTTCTCCCCAATCCCCTCCCCCTCGCTAGTTGGTACGCGAGCGAGAAAGGAGGAGGGCGCTCCAGGCGAAAGCACTGCAGACGCCATTATTCTCTGTTTCTCTGCTGCACCCACCTCGACGTCTTGCCTACGTCCCGCTTGTTGGCGGCCTATAGGTAACTGGAATTTTTGGGTTTGGGTAATGTGAATTCAGGCCGGAGTTTGACCCCCCTCAAGGCTGCGTTGAATTTTTCCAGACTCGATTTTTCTCGGGCCCTTAGCGGCCTTACAGCCTAAAGGGAGGCGCCGGCGGGAGGCGGGGCAGTCACCGCCTCCGACGCCTTGATTGACTCGGCCTTAGGCCAATCGCTTCGCCCTCGCGCCACCGCTGAAGCCCGGGCCTCCAATCGGTCGCGACGGCGGAGTAGGAGAGCGCGGAGAGGTGGGGAGGGTGGCGGGGGCCTGCGCTCGTTCTCTGTCGAGCTGTGACCGGCTGAGACGGTGCAGTGGCGAAAGGACGGCGGCCTCGCGCGGTGAGGAGCGGGGCTGGGCGAGTGGAGCATGGGGGTGAGGGTCGGGGAGCGCTCTTTCCGCTTGGGGGAGGCGTTTTCGGGGCGGCGGGGAAGTTGGCTGATTCTCCGCGAGGGAACGTGGCTCGGTTTCCCCTCCCCCCACCTCCGCCATTTCCCTGAGGTAGCCCGCAGTCCGCTGCGCTGTCCTAGAGACTTAAGGGATGATTGGGCCTGTGCCTGTCATAGGACCTGGGGGTCTTATATCGGGAACTAGACACCTGGAGTAGGGGGCAAGTGGGGCTGGCGGGCGGGACTGGGAGAAAACCGCCGCTCTTTGTGCGGGTCCCGCCGCCCTTAAGCCTGCTGGGTTTGGGCTGGGAGCGGAGAGATGGAACGCTCGGGGCTGCCTCCGTTGCTTTGTCTCTCCCGCGGTGGGGGGAGGGGGCGGGGGATGAGCTCGCGGGACCGCGTGGTGGGTGGGGGAGGGGGGCTCGCGCTCGGCTCCGCCTAGTAGCACGTCGTCGCCATTACGCGGGCCGCCATTTCCTGTCGGATCCGGGGCTGGAGAGGTGCGGCGCTTCTGTTCTCGCCCCAGGCTTTTCTTATTCCTGTTACTCCGCTGTCGCAGTTCCCGGTATCGGGCTTGGGGAGGGGAAGGAAGGGAGGCCAGATTTGCGCGCTACTGGTGGAGCGGGACTTGGCGTTGTTCTTGGTCCGAGAAGTGGTCACTGAAGGACCTAAAGGGTGAATGTCGGCGGCGTTCTCCCTTACAGAATAGCTCCTGGGATTGCCCTTAAACGCCTCGATCCAAATCTTCCACCGCGCTTAGTACTGCACTCGGTGATGGTCCACGGGACTGTCGTTTCGGTCAGTCGTTGGTACGAAAGGTCAGCGACACAGGAGAATGGAAGGCAGAAATGTTGACCCTTTTTTGGTTGTAGTCTGACCAGTATCTCTCTAACTGGGACCCCTTGTCATCTGTCAGTCCTGAGGTGGGAGCTTGCTACGGCGTCACTGGTCTGGTATTAGAATCTTAGGTTATACAGTTTTTATAATCTGTTCTGAAATAGCCCATAAGTGACGATGTAGTGTCCTACCCACCGAGTAATCTGGTTGTTTGGGTCTGTGTGTCGGGGTTTGAAGCATATTTCTCCAGTAATTTGACCTGATCGTTGAATTTGCCCTGTATTGGTAAACAGCAGACTATAGAAAAGAGCATAGCAATAATGGGGGAAACCCAAAAGCAGTTTAGAATTACACTTTGGAGGATAAAATTCGGATTCCTGGATCTATATCGTACATAATTCTGTACGTATTGTAGAAAACAATTGCTGTGGTGGATGTTGGAGCCTGTGGTCCAAAAATACTTGTTAGTCTTAAGCAAAGAAAAAAGAAAATAAAGCTTGTTTCTCTTAAGAACCCCCCCCCCATAATGAAAAATCATAGAAAAAGTAGCTCCTTAGTTTGTTTATTCTAAGTGGTCCGTAAGAAACAAACTGATAAATGTTGATTTTTATAGGCTTACTGAAGCACTTGGTTGTCATTTGGTCCCGCCCAGAATACTTCAGATCTCCTCTGCCAGGATATATAAGTAATTGGTACGTTTTAAACGCCTGGTCCTATCTTTGCTGCTTTTAACTCTTAGCAAGATGCACAGCTTAACTTTCCTCATCAAATGCACTAGCTTTTTCTCTTTTTCAACAGATTGGTGTATCCATTTAATACAAGAAAATGGAAACTGAACAGCCAGAGGAAACCTTCCCCAACACCGAAACCAATGGTGAATTTGGTGAGAAGATACTGTACAACCTTGTTTTTCTGTTAATTGCATTGTGATGGAATGTTTAGTTTAAAATTTTTGCTGGTTACATCTTGGCTTTTATTTATGTATTCTTAAAAGTGGGCCAGGAAAAATTAAAAATTTTTCCATGCATTTTGGGGTTTTTAATTCTTCAAGTGTTTTTGTTCTGATATCTGGTATCAGAAACATGCTTTGCTCCACATAAAAGTCCAAGAGTTTCAGTCATTTTTTAAATATACTTGTTACTTATAACAGAGTTGCTTTTTCTGACTATGGGTTAAAATTAAAATGAAAGTAAAAGTGCCTTTTATTAAAGATGCTGGTTCCTGCTTTGAAATCTAAATCCTTAATTTCTAGGCAAACGCCCTGCAGAAGATATGGAAGAGGAACAAGCTTTTAAGAGATCTAGAAACACTGATGAGATGGTTGAATTACGAATTCTGCTTCAGAGCAAGGTATACCTTTGTCCTTAAAAATTATAAGTTTTCAAGTAGAAATTAAAGTAAGTTCCAATTTGGTCAAAGCTAAAAAGGTTGACTAAGATTTGTACAAGTGATTCTTTCTAAATAGATTGGTGGTGCGTTTTATTAAGCTAGTAACTAAAATGAAATCCTTTTATTCAGTAAACATCACCCAGGACAGGTCAAACTAAAAGGATTTATGTGTTTTTAGCATTGGTGGATTAAAGATAATCTTTTCATCGCATTGTGAGTGCATTTTTTTTTTTTTTAATCCTCTTGGAAGTTAACATCACAGGATGAGTGTGCCTGCTGATTCATTTTTTAGCAGACAGGTACTGTAAGATTAGTGCTTATGTTTTATATTAAATATTTCTCGTATTCTGAGATTTCCAAATCTCAGTGTAGTTCCTAAATCAATTGGTGTGGTGGTAGTTTTTTGTTTTTAAGAGTTTTAGTTTACTTAAATGGATGGTTTTTTTATCTCCAAATTCGATATTCATACTAACAAAGAGGTTAGAGGGTGTTTTGTCATTGTTTTCTGCTTAAAACCTAGGAAGACAACATTAATAAGCTTGTTTTTACCTTCAGAATGCTGGTGCAGTGATTGGAAAGGGAGGCAAGAATATTAAGGCTCTCCGTACAGACGTAAGTATTAGAGAGTTTAAACTAAAAAAACAGGGTGCTTCAATTTATGTGTTTGTAGAAATTTAACAGTCTGTATCAGAAATCATTTAATAGGCTAGGTACAAGCCATTTGTAGTAATTCACTACATAGCTGATTTCAGAGTTTATCGTTCCTGATTTAACAAAGCCCAGATTAAGTCTGGGGGTGGTGATATTAAACATACTCACTTTCTAATAATTTTCCACCAAATTATTCACTTTGAGATAACATCTTAATTAGAAGTAGCAACAAAGTAATAAAATCCCTTAATTGCACCATTTCCCATCTGTGGATCAATTACAGTATTGAAAACTGTTGCAGGTGGCTGATTAAATCCAGGAATTTTATTTATTTTTCCTTTTTTTTTTTTTTTTAAGTTTGTCCATCTGTTCTTTAATGGCTTGCACGTGGAGCACAAAGAAATTGTTGTGGTTGCATGATTTAAACATGGGTAAAGAATAGAATAGGCATTTAATCTTATGATTGAGAAACCATATGTCAATGCCTATGATTTGTTAGAGTCTTCATATTTTATAGTGGGTTGACTCTTGTGATTAGACACATTAAATGATAGTATCACCTGAAGTGTGAACATATTTATAGGACTTGGTTACACCAAAATTTCTAAATTTTTTTCTCATAGTGTGCATACTCTTAAATGTTTCCTTGCTAAAGTTGAGACAAATAATAACTCTGTGTTGAATACTTATTTGACAGTATATTTCATTTCTCTCTTGGTCGCAGATCTTTGTATGTTTCTCTGATTACTGTAAACTGAACTTGAAAATTTGTTTAAAAATTTACAAACTCGCCTGTTAGGATCTAAGTGCATTTTAAACCTCCAGGAAACCAAACTAGTCTTAAGAATTAGGGTTTTCGGTGGTGTGGGAATTTTCGTTTTGTCTTTTATAAAACCTCTCTCCTCTTAATCCAGATGTTCTATATAAATTATCTGGGTTAATTTCCCCATTTCCTCAAGAATATCAGTTAACTAAGTCATGACAGGTTTTGTGTCTACCCTCATGAGCCAGCCTGCTACTGAAACATCAGTTGTTTCTTTTCTTTTCTTTTTTTTTTTTTTTTTAAAGCTAATACCATCATTTAAGGTCCTTTAAATGTTAAGCCACGGTCAGATATAGAGAAGTCCATTATTGTGTTAGTCTTCAGAACAACTTAAGCTTGTTTCATTAATTGAGAGTATGAGTATAGTTTGTATTAAATTAAAATTTATTGCTTTTCCCCCTTTTCCCTCTCCTTGTTTTTTTGGCCATATATCTCCGTTGCCCATGTACTGGATCGACTTACCCCTGCGTTGCCCACCATGACGTTGGCCCATCCGCCCCTGAACGCCCATGTGAAAACCCTGGTTGGCTATGCCCAAAAATGTGCTCGTTGCCAAACGGGTACCATACTTGACAACTTCT